AGAGCACTTACAAAACTCACGACTGTAATAAAGTTTAGAGATATAGTTGTACTAACTCGAGTAAGATGAAAGGTCAATCAAACTCAACCCAATTTTTAAAATCTCCAATCTAGATTCCACCCGAAATCTTCGATCAGTGCACCACTCATGTTTAAATTTTTAAACTTTGATTACCATATGTCAGCTATGTTGATATTCATGTTCAATTCAAGTCGAAATCAAATTCAATTTGGATTTGCTTCTTGGATAACATTACTCGGCCTAAAGATTTGGATATAATTCAGGTGGTTGGGTTTCAGATTGAATCCCAAAAACCCAAGACTCAAACCTCAGTAGTCAGTACTATCCAAATGATATTGAGTTGAGATTTTCTTGCCCAAGTTTAGTTAGCATCGGGTTACATTTAGATTGCCAACCCAAGTAACACCGTCAAGAGAAGTAAGTGACAGACAATTATATCTAATTTTTTTTTTTATTTTGAGAAGATTAATTTCTGCATTTGAACCCATGATTTATCACTTGGAGTGGTGCACAATATAAACACTTACCATTAGTCCAAATCCGAGCTAGTATATGATCTCAATTCCTAGTCTACGTCGCTGATGTTATACTAATATTCTCAGGGATCTTTGTATTAATCCTAGAGATATCATAATATTATTAAATTCTTAATCTTCTGAGGTACGAAATAGGCTTTTTCTTTCAACAATAAACAAGGCATAATTTACGGGATATTTAGCTTTGATATAACATGTCTTCTTTTATATGTGAGCAGACAAAAATATGATAACAAGGAATAAACCTATTTTTTCAATAATTAAATATATAAATAAAACCTAAATTAAATGAACAAACCCTAAATTGTGTAATGTTGTTTTTAGAACACTTCCATGAAACTAGGGTTTTCCTCAGCTCTCTTCAATACCTAGATTTATAGATAGGTTCATCTTAGTTTTACGTTAATAAGCAGTCTTTTTGTAACTAGGGTTTTTCCCCATCTCTTCAGTAGATTTGGCATTATGACTTCAAAATACCTATAGATTTATATTGTTCACAGAAGATAATCGAATGTGGACTATTTGCTTCATCTTCTTCTTATCACTGCGTATCTTTTCTTTATCTTTTGAAATCTTTCCTGACGTTGGAATGAAGAATAAAAAAACAAGAATGAAGGAATAAAAAATGAAGAAACCTGGATGCTAAGTTTAAGCAACTGACAAAAGAGGCCAATCTAATGTTGAGGCCACCATTAATAATGATATATAGTATAAGTATTGTATTGCAATTTTAAATTAGACAATTTTATCCCCTAAAGCCATTTAATGAATTGATTTTGAGACTAAAACCCAAGAGGGTCGAACTGATTAAGATGTTAATTCGGGCTCAATCCAAATATAACCCTCAACTTGAAGTTCAATATGAATTTGAATCTTGGGTTTAAATTTGGAATCAAAATTAAATATGGATTCAAGTTAAAATCAGGTTAACTCAAGTTTGATTCTCGAATTGCATAAATCAGACCAAACATTTTGATTCAATTCAAGTTAAACTCAAATCTATTAACTCGGTTGGATATTGGAAGTGAAAATCCGAAACTCAAGTCTGAAAATTAACAAGAGTACGGTTTTTTTGCTCAATCCCAACTCCATCCTCAAAATTATCCATTCAAGTGGCTGACATTTTAGGTTTATGTTGTGATTATTCTACATAGTTCTCCTGCTTGGCTTGGATCATGCTTACACATGATTTAGAAGAGAGTGAGATTTTTATTTAGGGTTAGCTGTTTGGGACAGTAAGAGGCTGCGTAAACATCCCTGATCAGGCTCCAAACTTTGTCGGCCAAACAGGCCCCATGCATTCAATCACGTAGGCCATGGCCGGCCAACAGTTGAACCAAACCCTTTTGTCATAACTCATAATTCCATGATTACGTAGCAGTCTACAAAAGACGCTGTTGCTTGTGAAAATATGCTAAATTATATGGCTTTGAAAGTTATTGCCCAACAAATCAATGATTTATATCATACATTTTTTGAAAATAAAGGTGTATCCGTCGTGGGCGGCCCAACCTAATTTGGGGTCCTCGGCAAAAATGCTATAAAAGATCTTATAAATATTTATTCAGTAGTAATAGTAATACTAAATATTTATTAAAATATGTTTATTTACAAATTATTTGTTTTGCCTTTTGAGATATAATAGACTAATTCAAATTTTAAATTTAAATTTTATAAATAAAAATTGTGTTAATCGAAGTCAAATACAGAAATTAAATACAATATTACATACTAGCTATTTGTTTAAGATAAAAGAGAAACATAATTGAAAATTAATTTAACTAGTAAAATAATTTTTTTTCTAAATATATATAAAAATAAGAATTTATACAAGTTGAATAGTTCTAAAATAATCGAGACATCTATAAAATAAAACATGACAGACTTTAATAAATTAATCCGATGATCTCAAATAGGTTTATTCAATGACCACTAACATCTCTCTCAAATTCATTCAAATTGAACTATCTTCTCTAAATCCATTACTTCTCACTTACGTTGTACCGTACCTGCAGGCACCGGTTACCCCTAGTTTTTAGATATCATAGAGAAAAAAAATTATTTTAAATAGAAAAGATTGTTAGTGCACTATTTCTACTCAATCTATTTTATAATCATCTTGTGCTTTCTAAACAAAGTTATTAAAAAATGAACTCAAATTTAATTTATATAAATGTAAAATTATTATTCGTATTTATTATACGATAGACAATTTATTTTAATAATAAGATTGCAAAGTGATAATATATATAATATAATTATTCTAAAATTTTTACAATAATACTAGTTGCACTTAATTTGAGGATCAAGTACATTAGATAAATAGTGAATTTTTTTTAAAGTTAGCAATCACTATTAATTCAATGATTAAAATATATTGAGTATTTAAATTATATTCTAAAATTTTAATTATATATTATTGTTTATTTTATTATGGGGCCCCAAAATTTTCTTCTAATTTGGAGGTCCTAGGCAATGGCCTAAATAGCCTAAAGATTGGGCCGGTATCCGTACAATAATTATATAACAATAATCACCGTTACAGAACAAGTATTTTAGTATTTATATGTGGTTGGATCAATCATCAATGATATGGAATATATTGCAAACCTACAAAGTAGTAGATTCAGAGTCAAATGATGAGTTCTTATTATCCCACTTGAGAACTTAATTAGTAAATGATTTCATGGGGAATTAATTTTTTTTTTTTTTTTTACCAAAAAAAAAATTTGATGTATGGTGTCTTCGTAAGGTGTGACTGCCAAAAAATAGATGTGAGATGTCAATTAGTCGATTTCCGTCACCAACACTTGATTAAATGCCAAAAATAAGAGTTTCCTTCCCTTTCATGGTATAAAGCATGAATCATAATTCAATGGCTTATGTACTTTTTGTTTTTGATGCTGTTTTAGTTGTTGTCATTCATTACACATTGTCTGCTAAATAGAGTTGTTATTTGACTTATGCTCTAAGTGAATGCTTGTAAGAAACAATAAATTCCAACAAAAATGCAGTTGACCCAATTTTTAAGGCTGCATGCCTTGTGTACCATTGGAGGAGTCTAAGTTGCTCCCAGATTCACCCATTGAAGACTTTAATAACATAACACGAACTTAGTTAATTGACATAACATGAAATTGATAACATGATATCGGTCTTGTCTTAAATATTTACTCTTTAACATCTATGTAACAGAACTGTACGATGATTTTTTGGATTTTTAGGAGAATAAGAAGTCTATCGACCAACCACCCCGACATGGCCAAACATGGGTTCCCTCTTTGCCTCAGGATTAGTCTGGACTTATCTAGTTATCGTACTGAATCACAAATGGGTGTCAATACTTTCATTTTTGGAATTGATAGTGATATTGGCTAGAAGTTTCAGCCACTGCTTATCGTCAGTCACCTGAATCTGACACACTACAAGTTGGCTTGCTGACTCTGTAGAGCTATAACTGAGGAAACATATAGTAAAGTGAATTTCTATCACAATACTGTAGGTGATATACCAATGATAGAATCGAAAGGAATTAAATATTGTCACATGTTCGTCAGTTATGAATCATGCATAAATCCAAACTTCGTAAAAGTACAAGTTTACTTGTATAACAGGCTTGGAACTAGCCTTATACAGCTTCATAAATTGGTCATTTAGTGTAAAATTAAACCTAAGATTCCAGTGCTCCGAAATGAACCTCTTTCAAAAGGACAAATCTAATCGTAACTCATATCCTCTACATGTTCATAAATTCATACGTACACATGATCCTGCTTTCTAAAATCTGCAATTTCGATTCATGTTATAGAGTTGTTGAATTTTATAGGATTAACCCAAAAGGGAAATTCTGGGACTGTATGAAATATGTGTTACAATCAGTTTAATTATGGTAAGTTAACCGTTTATAAAAACGGTTTTGATGTCATTTTTATGAGCCTATTCATCACCATCTGTGCACTTTTTTTTCCCTTTGTTATGGGATGAGATCAAATATAACATAAGTTGGGAAAAGTATCATGAAAGAAGCACCCACTGACGTCCTTGGTTTATCCATCTTCTTCTTCTTCTTCTACGCCTCAAGATGAGCAGAACCCTAACTAACAAGTTTTTTCACAGAAAAGGAAAGAAAAGCTGAAACGAATAAGTTAAAAGAAGATCATTTCTCCCCCAAGTGGATTAACATATACTGTTATTATTTTGTCTCTATGTATAACTCCCATCAACCTCCTTATCACCTCATTTCCATGGCGGGACCCTCCCAATCTCCCTATTTATATCACCCTGTGCACCCATACTCCTTGTACATACCTGCCTTCACTTCTCTCTCTCGCTATCTCTCTTTATCTCTCAAGTTGTGCATTTAAGCACATTCTTTTATTAATGGTTTCTTCTCTTTCTTCTCTCCTCTTCATGGCTCTCATTTTCTGTCTCCTCCTCATTTTCATGCTCCCTTCAAGCAATGCTGATGGACCACCTTCACCCGGCTACTACCCTAGTACCAGAGTTGGTTCAATAGGGTTCAATCAAGGCTTTAGAAATCTCTGGGGTCCCCAGCATCAAAGTTTAGAGCAGGGTTCATTAAAAATTTGGCTTGATAGAATCTCAGGTTTTACAAACTTAGCTCAAGTCTAATTGATTAATGCATTTTTCTTGCAACATTATCTCATATTATATTCTTCTCTGCTTTGTTTTTGAATTGTAGGAAGTGGGTTCAAGTCTCGTAGTCCTTACCAATCTGGGTATTTTGGGACTGCCGTCAAGCTCCAACCTGGTTATACTGCAGGAATTATTACATCTTTTTATGTGAGGACTGACAATTCTACTCTCTCTCTCATACCCAAACACTAATAAGTTGTATCTCATCTTTAGATGTGAAGAAGTGAAATGAATTGGCTTTGTTTTGGTTGATGACAGCTATCAAATAATGAAGACCACCCGGGAAACCATGATGAGATTGACATAGAGTTCCTCGGAACGACGCCGGATAAGCCTTATACATTGCAAACAAACGTCTATATCAGAGGAAGTGGGGATGGAAATATAATAGGGAGGGAGATGAAGTTTCACCTTTGGTTTGACCCGACCCAAGATTTTCACAACTATGCTATCCTCTGGAACCCCACCGAGATCATGTTAGTTCCATTTCAATAAACTAGTATATATATACATATTATGCCCACGCATATGCACAATTTCGAATGGGAGTTAGTATTTCTATTAAGGGATGTTTGTCAGTAAAGTTAAAATAATTTATAAATACAAATTAATGAAATTTGGAAAATCTAGTTATTTTTGCAATTTGAATGAATTAAAATGAACTAACTAAAACAAACTCCATGTTTGCAAAATAAAAGTCAAAATCTAATTAAATTCGAATCATTTTTGTGATTTAGACGAACAAAAAAAGTCAAATTAAAACGGGTCAAGCTTAATCTCCAACTTCATAAATTATTTAACAACCCGAGGCCGAGGTCCTACTACACAACATGCCTTTTTTTTTTTTTTTTTTGTGTGGGACAACATGCCAAAACTTTGGAGATTGGTATCTTTTATCTTTTATTGACTAAAAAAAGACACTGATAGTACTTTTTTTTTTTGGTCTGACATTGATGGTATTTTGTGGACCACTTATGCGTTAAAATATCTTGTGCCCCTCATGAAAATACTGGTTTTTGGTACATGGAATGAACTTAGAACAAAAGATCCTCAAATCAATGATAAATCTAATTGTGTCACTCCATGCATACAAAATCTTGCTTTATATCACGCAGTCCTCTTACAATCCATTGCCTTTTAATGAATTCCGACTATAGTATAGAGCAGTCACGTTTTGATATTATACCTCTTCGTAAGCACTAATAATTTTACGTAATAAAATATTAATATGTATTAATTTTTTATTTCGGTACATATGCAGATTTTTTGTGGATGATGTGCCAATAAGGAGGTACCCTAGGAAAAGCGATGCAACATTTCCACTGAGACCTATGTGGGTGTACGGATCAATATGGGATGCCTCATCTTGGGCCACAGAGGATGGAAAATACAAGGCAGATTATCAGTACCAGCCATTTGTAGCAAGGTACACAAATTTCAAACTGGGTGACTGCACCGCTGGTGGAGCCGCCTCGTGCAGCCCACCATCGGGCTCGCCATCTGGTTCGGGTGGTCTGAGCCGACAGCAACAGGCAGCCATGGAATGGGTCCAGAGGAACAATAAGGTGTATGATTACTGTCAAGATCCAAAGAGAGACCATACCCTCATACCTGAGTGTTAGGGTTTGGTTGAAAGACTTGAATAAGTGAAGTTAAAGAGGGTTGGTTTGGAGTGCCTTGAGATGGGTCCACTAGCCTAGAATAGGTGCAGGAGTTGTTGAAGCATCCAAGCGTCCAAGAGTTGGAAGTTCTGTTTTTATTTTGCTGTATTGTTATTAGAATAAGTTCATAAGAAAGATTGTCAAATACATTTGCTGTGGAGAGAGAGAGGGGGGGGGGGGGGGGGGGGTGAGGACACCCCAGATATGGATGAGATTTGAGTGTTTGGTGATGACACCATGCAGAGAGATGGGGGCCTTTGAGTGTATCTCTCAATTTACTTTTCCATTTTACAACATAGTAAATTTTACTGGATTAGTATTTGTCCCAGAGCAATGCTATACAGACTTTAAAATTTGACTTGATGGTATAATTGTTATATTTATCATTAATTTAGTTATGAGTCATAATATTTATTGAAATTTACTATCTATATAATAATAGTGATTTATCAAATTAAAATTTTAAATTAGTTTTTTAAATCTATTTAATATTTTTCTTCACGCAAAAGTGTAAAGTGTGACGAAAAGAGAAAGAGAAATGGTATACAACAAACTTACGAAGAATACTTTCTTTTTCTCCCCAAGAAAAAACGTGACACCTTTTCTTGTCTAATAAAAGAAAGTGACTCTTGTGAACTTTCTTTGTTTTATTATTTTATTACTAATGGTACAAAGAAATGAAAACAAAATCTATAACTTATACGCGTTTTTAATAAGATTTTATGGGTTAATTATATATCTCAAGTTTTTAAATTTGACTCTAAACGATCCCAAATTTACACCAGATAGAATTCTATCGTGCCAATCCAGTTTACATTATAGTCACTTGCAGGTACAAAAAACAACACATTCTATTCTTTGTTATAAAGAACAAACAAAAAAGATCAAACAGATGAATGCAAATTTGGTGTGGGATCAACATCATCGGTATATCGGACAAACTTCTATGATTAAGTAGTCACATGAATACACTAATATGATTAATTAGTCACACGAATACTTAAGGAAATAAGCCCTGCAACTTTTTTCTATTTGTATAATCGGCAATTATTGGTTTATTAGGGATTGAGAAGCAACAGCTTCTATATCAATTAGCTTGGGAATTATGAGAAAAATGTCAAGTTCAAATCATCCCACGGAATGGCATTGCGCTTAATAGTTCAACGTACGACCATGACAAATGCAGAAAAAGGATCAGAATCTGTCCTATTCAATGCTTCAATTCAATCGAACAGCAACGTGGGTTGGAAAGTTTGGCTACCTTAGTGCATTGTAGCTATCAATTTCACGGGATAAACCAACGGACTTTTGACACAATTGTACCTTTTGTAAATGTTTGGTCTTTTTTGGGTCAAAAATTTAAGTTTTTTAGGCGGTAAAAGCGTGATTAGTCGGTAAGACGGATCTGAATTGCTTAAACGAATTGTGTCTCGGTCTCTAGTGTGAGTTCGAATTTTCATTGAAGTATAGATCCTGATTTAATTAATGTATGAATTGAGAGATTGATTTATACATACACAATTTATTATCCAGTCTACTTAAACTCAAGAGTCTAAGCAACATCAACTTGTCTCTACTCGCCATGACAAACCAAAAATTTATGAGTAATGTTTGATGGACTTAAAAATTAAACTTGATAATCTCAACCATTGAATAGGTAGTGAGTCTCAATAAATGCTGAGACCCACAGTAAAATCAATGGTTGAGATTATCAAATTTAACTTTTAAATTTATTTTTTAAGTTCATATAACATTACTCAAAATTTATCCTCTTACAAAAAAATAAAGGGTCACGGGATAATGCCATGTATAGAGGGTTGGTGGTAAGTACTATCATACTTCAGTTCGTACCTTGTTGTTTAAGTCTTCGTTAATAAAATTGTATTTTTACTTACTGAAAAAATTAAAATTGGTTTTTTTTTTTAATATTTTGGCAACAAAAAAAACCCAAAAAGTTTGTAATAAAATTGGTTCAATTCAGTAGAATCCATATTTATGATGATGTCTAGGCAAATCCTTGTCAATTTGTGAGTAAATATTTATATCAACATTTATATCAACATTATCACTGTCAAATGTTGTCATCGAGTAATAATAAACAAATAAATAAAACAAGTAAACCCCACTACACTCTCATGATAGCTATCGAATGTGGAAGGTATTGGTTATTATAGAATTTAGTGGTTATACATGTTTATACAAAATTAGTTTGTGATACTATATGACGGTAATTATGTGATGTCATCTTTACATTCAATATATAATTCGCATCTAGTCGAGTTTGTTTCAACCCACGAGCTACTCTAACTCGAGAGTGTAAAAACTAAACTCATAATGACAATTTCGTGTCAATTTCATATGGAATTTTTAGATTGTATTAAAAATTGTGAACCCAATTGACAATATTCTTTAAATTTTTCTCAAATAATCAACCATTCATTTGACTATATATGACTCAACCAAGATGACCACAATGCTCTTAAGAACAGCACCAACTTGAGTGCAACCCCATGATGAAAAATTCAGTAGTCAAGATTCTAACTGTTCATCGTAAGAATTCTAAGACCTCGTTAAACACACGTACGAGGTTAATCTATGCATGGGTTGCTTGTAACTTTTTAATTCACAGTAAGTTCTAAAAACTTAAAATTGATTTGTTTCGTATAGAAATTTGGTCAATCTGAAAACGAAAATCTTTCGCACATGTTTTGAAATATTTTGAAAACATAACGGAATTAAAAAAAAAAAAACTCTATATTTGTTTCTAAAATATTGATCAAAGCATATCCAAACATATCGAAATACTTTAAAATATAAAATTTTAATATTCAATCACTGATTCGTATCGAAACACCAAGATAAAGATCATTGGATTCCATAAATAATGGGCTACTAATTAAAACAACAAACGATAATGTAAAGTCTGAATAAACCAAAATGAATACAGATTATAAATTGCATGTGATTACCTCTCTTTTCATGCTTTTGAAATTTTTAGATTCTCAGTACGTACTCACGGGTGTATATGATTGGACTTGTAATAAGGAGCCTCTTGTACTTCGATCAATTTTCATTGATCAAATAGTATGGAGAACAGATCAAGAGCAATACATTAATCCAAAAACATGTGAAATCAAAGTTATCCTCTCTCGAGGGAAGAAAGAATCAGGGTCGGCTCGATGTAAATGGGACCCTATGCAAAAGTTTTAAATGGGGTCTTTTTAAAATTTATTGTAAATATATAATATGATTAATATTTCATTTATTTATTTGCATTTTGAGACACAAATTTAGTGATTAAGCTTTTACATTTAAGTTTCGTTATTATATCGTTTTCAATGAATAATAAGATTAATCTATTCAATTTTTCTTGTGACATAATTGATCAAGATTTTATAAGTTTTAATTTTAAAATACTTCTTTTTTGAAGAGACAGATGCCTACCTATGGGTTTTTAATGGGAAAAGAGAGAGAGAGAGTTTCCTAAAAGCTAAAAAGAGTACAATTACATCGGCTGACTTTTAAGGTGATCGTTGAAAGGGTTTTTAAAAACTAAAATGAGTAAAATATTGATTAAAAGGAGAAAGATAATTGAATTTTTTTGTCTCTGTTTGGACATTTTTATTTATGATATTTATTTAATTGGGTCTATACAAACTTAAATTTTATGGTCATATATAATATTAATTTTCAAAGATCATCGTAACATTATTTGAGACCCTTTCGTTTTAGGGGTCCTATGCAAACATTTAAATCGCTTACCTATTGCACCGAACCCGACAAATATTGAAAAAGATAGGCACTTCATTGAAATTTCATTGAATTAGCTGTGGGTCCGATTATTCATTGGAAATCATTACCAATTAAGTTAGTAAATTAGCTTTAAGTTTACATAGTATTGTTTTCCCTTCCCCTTCCCCTTCCCAAAAAAATATATATATATATAGTATTGTTTGATTAGTAATAATGGGACATTTTCAAATGCCAGTCCAAAGGGATGAAAAAATAAGGACAAACCACACCCTCAATGGGCCATAGTTCACCCTCCGCTTCTGGGGTACCAGGTATTAATCATTTTCGTTATTGGGCTGGACGCTAAGTATAATTGGTCCTAAGTTCGGGGGATCATGTGTAATTATTACCCCATACGTTGTTGAATGTTGAGGCCCAACCCAACAAGACTTTGCAATTATTTCTCCTAAACGAAAGGGATCATCTGTAAATAACGAGTTGACGCCCAACCCACTAAGACTTTCTTCTCCACAATTCTTTGTAGTCACTACAGGTGCATACTTGTGCTTGCTGATCACCATATAGGTTTTTTCATGTTCATGTTTGATTTGACAAGTAACATGAACAAGTTTTATGTTGATCATCTCGCTTTTTATTTGAATTTGGTATCGACTATGCACAAAAGTACACAATTGAAATTGTCAATCGACTCAATTTAAATCAGGGATTTGATAGAATTGAATTCAAATTTTAATCTATAAATTTTATTTTCCGAATAGCAATTCGAGTTCATCATAAATCAATCACAAATCAAATCACATCCAAATAAATTCTTAGTCTTACCTGAATTTTAATAAGTTATATCTGAATTTAAACTCAATTTCCCTATAAATTCAAATAAATATGTAAACTTCAAGTTGGATTATAATTGGATCATAGATTCATATATAAAAATCGGGTACACAATTTGAAGGCACGGTGTTACTAAAAAAAATCGAATATTGAATTTAAACACGAAATAATCAAGCACTGAAAAAAAAATATATTGAATTGCTCGTCCACAAATTGCATCAATTGTAACTGGTGCACATCACTCTAATAATTGCCCGTGTCTGAAGACATTATGTAACAATCAAAAAAAATATTATTCAACAATACGAAAAAAAAAAAATAAGGATCTATGAAAAAATTGAAATTGATAATGTCGTAATTTCGGCAAATGCCATAGG